TTGAGTGTTTTATAGTTCATATCAAATACAAAGAGTATTCAATGAATATGGTCATCAATAATCAGAATAAATACTTGTAATGGAAAACAAAAATAGTTACAGGTTTGGAAATAAAGAGAGTACCTTTTAAGTTGGTCATACCTTCATGTATGGACTTATTCACAAAAGCAAATCGGAAGACCCAGTCTTTCGTTTCTCTGACTGGTTTCTTTGCTTTCACATAAGAAAAATCAAAAACTCTGGCTGTGGTTTATTTCTTTTCACAGAGGCAAAATCGCAGAACTTGGTTGGATAAGGATTTACTCTGCAAATTAAAACATATTTGGGACATATTTCCGGTATATACAATAGTATATGAATTGGAATTGTTTACCAATGATATCCTGCCAACTAAAATGAACCAAAAGGGTTCCCAACTGACAATTGCCAGGTATGAGTAGGAATATATGGAATATTTAGTATTTAATAATTACTTCCAAATGTGCTTTATAAAACAAGCTACTACTAATAAACTATTTCCAACTAAATGAATCCATCTGCTAAGCTAGACATGACATATAGGTACACAATGTTTTTAAAATTCAGAGAGTACCAAAAAAGTATAAAACAAGAAGTCCTTGTTAATAACAAAGAACCATCTTATTGAATCTTAAAACTTCATAACTTAAGAAGCACAATTCAACATAAGACATCACTGATTCACAATGAAGGTTGAGAACAATATATTTCAAAATATGAATATGATATTTTATCTGGTTTCACAGCAGGAAAGGGGAGCAAATCTTTTTGTTTCACTTTAATATACAATCAGTATTTCATATTACTTTATATACAAATCTGATAAATGATTTACATATATTATTTATTTAGAGTCTTATTGTCACTAATTTTTCTCTTAGTGTAGTAGTTTAGAAATTAAAATTCAAAATGGAGCCACATTTGACTTTTATTGTTTACTATTTAGCATCGACTTTCCTCATACAAATTAGGGTTAACAAATTCAAATTCCAGCCAATAAACCGATTTACAGTCTTAGAGCAAATTAGGGTTAGCAAATTAAAGTTATAAATAAGAAAAACTACTTCTCTATATAGTGAATTGATTAAAGATGATCAAACGTGAAAGAGTTTATTGAAGGAGAAAGAGAAAAAATTATACTCCCTCCGTCCCAATATAAAAGACACACTTTCCTTTTCGGTCCGTCCCAATATAAAAGGCACATTTCTCTTTTTGACAAACAAAACAGTGCAAAACAGTGCCAAACAGTGTCCAAACAATGTCTAAACAGTGTCAAACAGTGTTCAAACAGTGTTCACCCATAAAAACTCCCCAAACGCAAATGTGCCTTTTATATTGGGACGGAGGGAGTATTAAACAACAAGACGAATGCCGCCATTCAAGCTCAATTCCTTGCTATACGTTGGTAGTTCTTCTGATGGGGCTGGGTACGCTTTCTTTGGGGCACTGCACTTCTCTGGGACGTCGTCTCCGGGAGAGAACGGTGAATGAAAGTAAATCAACTGGAATATTGTGAATTCTGGCATGGAGAAAGGACGAATCATGAAATTATTGATTGCTATTGATTGCTCTGTTTTCTTCTCCAGTGCTTTGAAATGAAAAAACGAGGAGGACTCCTAAGCAATTTACTAATGGAAGTGGTCGTTTTTTAATTATATTCCATTTTCAAAACCATATCTGACTTGGAAAAAAATATCAATAAAATTTTGACATCTGGCAAATGCACCGAAACATTCAGCAAAGTAAACGCACCATAAATTTTTCCAAATTATAGTAGTGTAAAAGTGTACCTTAGACATTCTACAAACCAATGAGTAATTATGTTATCAATGACCACCATTATCTTCGTAACACCCGCAATTGGAAAGTTTGTGTGGGTTAGAAGTTATGTGATTATTCTTCTAGAGGATTTTAATGGTTAATTGAGAAGTTTGTACGGAGTATGAGTCAAGTAATAATAAGATCCGCAATTTCATGTGAGACTGGTAGTATGGAGCGTTATAAGGGCCTCGGATTTGAGCTCGGATTCAAGATCTAACAACTCCAATGAGAGGTTATTTGTAAAAATATAATCTCTACAAAGATCAAAGACTCACTCACTATCTATTAGTTAACTATTCGACCAGTGCCGAATCCCTCACAGATGGGTATCATCCTTTCATATGGACATCCTTTTACAGATGGATATCTTTTACAATAAAAAAATTTATTGAGTAAAAGAATAAAGTTAGATTTGAAAATAATATTCAGCTTACTTTGATGACTTTTCCAAAAGTGAAAAATTGTTCAAATTTTGATTACTTCAGCCTATTTCCAGACATCTCAACGTACACATCAAATACAAATATAACAAATTGGTATTAATTTCAAATTGGTATTTGAAAATTTTAACTGACTTAAGTACTTATTTTCAAATTGTTCAAAGGTTGTACACAGAGACATGGACCCTGTCCAACCGGCCCGGGAAATTGGTTCCGGTTCCGGGCCTAGGCCCGTCCCGAGGGGGTAAGGGAGAGCGGTTCTGGTACACCAAAAAGACAAACTGGTCCGGCCGGTTCGGGCCTTTTTTTTTATTTATTTATTGGGTTTGGGCTGGGTTTAGGTGGGCTGGGTAATTCTGAGGGGTTTGGGGGGTGGGGGTAGGGGTTGAAATAAATAAGAAAAAAATGGAACCGGTAGCCTCTTGGGCCGGTCCCGGGCCTTACCCAAAACCATCCAGACCCGGCCGGGCCTAGGCCTGAACCAGAATCGGACCAGGCCCGGTCCACCACTATGTACACATCACATAAGAGCCTATATTCAGTTAATATTTTACTGAAAATATTAATAAGTACTTATTTTCTTTTTTTTGAGTTGAATAAGTACGTATTTTCAAACAAACGAGTCATTAGACGTCACATATAAATTTTCTTGTCAAGGATCGATACGTATTATAATAAGAAGTGCATAAACTAAGTTGATTTGATTAAGGGATAATTTGAGTTTGCACTCCATATTATTGTTCAAATTGGACTTAGCACCCCGTTTTTAATAGACTTTGTTTTTGCACCCGAACTACATATGAAAATACAATAATGCCCTTGTACAGGAATATGTTCAAGGTTAACATAATTGTTAATGGAGAGATATTTTTGTCTTTTCACATGGGGTAAAAAGACAAACATAAACTTCGGATGTATTGAGGTTTTGTCCCGTAGATCCGGAAGCCCAACATAAACTTCGGATATTAAGGACGATGGATTCGGTATAAACATAAATAAAATATATAAAAGTGTATGAACTAGCTATTTTTACGTGGAAACCCGGAAAGGGAGAAAACCACGAGACTTTTTAGGCTGACGTCCAAGCCCGCTCTTTCTCATTACTATCCTCTCCTCACCAAATTACATAGTACAATACTTGAACTCCATTAATGGAGATTGATGCTAGCTACAAGAGAGCAAGAAAAAGGCAATCAAGAGGAGGGAGAGCCAAAAAGAGGATCCCCTACAAATGGGATCCCTCCTCCCTATTTATAGGAAATAGGGGAGGGTTTCTGATGGGCCAACGGGCCTAACGGGCTGAGAAGGCTCTAATGGGCCGAAGCAGGCCTAACTGGGGTTTCTATTTTGATTGTTGGTGACCAGTACTGGCTTCGAAGCTCCTGTTCGGGATCTGAAGCCTTCGAGTATTGGTGTTCAGTACGGAATATGGGTCGAACGGGTTCCAGGCCTAGGAGCCGGGTTGTGATGATGCTGATGATACCCAGGTCGCTCGGGAAAGATATGGTTGCCAAGTTTGCACCCTTCGGGCGTTCGTTTCCTGGTGCTGCTAGGATGGGCGGTGATTCTACCACCCTGAATTGTTTTGGTCCAACGCCCTCGTGGTGCAACCAGTTCTTCTCACACAGGGACGGATACAGGATTCTGAGTTAAGGGGGGCGAAATTTTTCGTTAGTGTAGGGGGTGAATTTTTTTTTGTTAGTGTAGCGGTGTGAATTTTTTTTCCCTAGTATAGCGGGGCGAAATTTTTTCGCTACTGTAGGGCTATGCGGCTATTTTTATTCAAAAAATGATATTAATACATGCACATCCTGAAAGACATTTCAATCTATTACATTCTAAGTTTAGACGATGACAAAGACATCAACCAATACATTTTTAATAACTTCTACATTGTTTAACCTCATGAATCGGTTATTGAATTGTAATTTTTGTCCACCAAGGAGGATGTTCGTGAGTCATGACTCATGAGCAGTTTTCTTAATATTACAATAGTAGTATACTAATATGTATGAGATTGTTATTTTTAGAATAATATGCACCACATACACACACATATATGGTGCATATTATATTTTAATATTTTTTATTAATTCTATAATAATTTAGAGTTTATTATCCATGCAATAAATTATTTTTAGAAAGCAAGAAGTAAATGAATTATGTAATCTAATGTCTATAATTATTTATATTTTGGATTCATTTCACGTGATCTAAAAATTGTGTAATTAGTGTGTCTGGTATTTAATATTGTTTGATATATGTTTTACGAAATTCAGTACTTGTTATCTAATAAAGATAATTAAACATTACAAAACTAGGAATTCTTATATAATAAGTATCCTAAATCTTAAATAACGAGTTACTCTATTGTTTATTTGTTTAAATTATGTAAATTATTTTAGATGTTTCTTCTTTTAAATCTCCAATTAAGTATTAATTGGAAATATTAATTATGAAAATTAAAAGCTAAGGGGGGCGAATCTAATTAAATTATGAAAGTTTTATGAAAATATTACATACTTCGTATATATGGTAAAAAAATTGAATGTCCAAGGGGGCGGTCGCCCTCGCGCCCCCCTAAAGGAGTGTTTGGGGTTGCTTAAAAAAAGCACTTTTCAGCTTTTGGCTTAAAAAAAAGTTGAAAAGAGTGTTTTCAAATGACAGCTTCTGCTTAAATTAATTAATCACTTAAAAGCTAAAAGCTAGAAGCAAGTAGAAGGGTGCTTTAAACTGCTTCTCACTTTTTCTATTACACAAAAAGTATTTATTTTACCAAAGACTACCAACTTTTACTTTTTCAGAATCACTTTTTTCTCAAACACTACCAACTTTTACTATTAATCAATTTTCCCAAAATCACTTTAAAAAATCACTTTTTTAAAGTTGAAGCAATTGCAAACACTCCCATCCATCCTTGTTCTCACAGGTGCTCCCTTGCGTTCGGGTCGAGCCTGGATGTGGAGCACGTTTGACCGAAAACCCCTGTTCAGGCCTTGCTACGTTGGGACTTGGGGTGATTATTTCTTGTTGTGTGCGGCCTGTCATAGCCTGGTCGGCCATTCTGTGCTCAGGATCCTGCCGGAGATAGTAACCGGCGGCATCTTGGGGCTTCCCCGAGTGTTGTTCGTCTATTGGTCGTTCAGGGAATTCTCGTTCGGGAAGCCAACGCTTATTTTTTGGATAACCATGAATCTTCAAATCAGCCAGCTGGCCTATTGTCAGGCTTCCCATGTGACAGTAGATAGCTAGTCTAGTGGATAGCTAATCCTCGTATGTCAATCAGTCTGATCAAACTTGGGTCTCAAAACAAGGATGTAAACATTAAAACCTGTGAATCTTTTGGTCGTGGTGGTGAAACCCACATACTGCTTTATTCATAGGGTGGGAACGTTGCTACAGCCAAGGCTCTGGATATATCATATCTGAAATTTCAATTCCCACCCTTTCTTCCCCCGGAAATCAATCCATCTTCGTATCAGTACCGAGAACACATAAATCTTTTAGAATTGTTTCCCACAGACGGCGTCAATGTTGAGGTTTTGTCCCGTAGATCCGGAAGCCCAACAAAAACTTCGGATATTAAGGATGATGGATTCGGTATAAACATAAATAAAATATATAAAAATGTATGAACTAGCTATTTTTACGTGAAAACCCAGAAAAGGAGAAAATCACGGGACTTTTTAGGCTAACGTCCAAGCCCGCTCTTTCTCATTACTATCCTCACCAAATTACATAGTACAATACTTGAACTCCATTATTGGAGATTGATGCTAGCTACAAGAGAGCAAGAAAAAAGCAGTCAAGAGAAGGGAGAGCCAAAAAGAAGATCCCCACAAATGGGAGCCCTCCTCCCTATTTATAGGAAATAGGGGAGGGTTTCTGATGGGCCAACAGGTCGAGAAGGCTCTAATGGGCCGAAGCAGGCCGAACTGGGTCTCGTCAATTGGCTCCGTATCGGGGTGATGCTTTGGGCCCCTGAACAGTAGTGGGCCGGGATAATATACCCAAGAGGATGCAAAGTCCAATTTGAATAATAATACGGGTGCAAACTCAAATTATACATTTGATTAATATTCTTACATCTTAAAAATAGAACCGTCACACCATTCTATTCTTAACTTTTAAAATAAAAAGCCCATTTGCTGGTCAGGACTCGGGATAGCAATCACTGCCTGGCGCTAAATGGCGCCAAATGAAATGTGCTTCTTTTTAAATGCTACCTTGTCTTTTAACTTTCAACCCTGTATTCATTTATTTTAACCCAAATTTTGTTTAGAACTACCTTTAAGTTTTAACATGCCATATTACATTTGTACTTAGTAGTTAGTACACCGTTTTGAAATCTAGTTTATCACTTAAACCTCCGTATCATAAGACTTGGTTATATGAGGGAATAAAGTAAAATGTTTCACTAAACCAGTAAACCATCTGCACTTTTTTGTTATGAAAAAACAGTTAGTCCATGTTATTTTCGATGCGTTTTTCACTATGGGTCATCCGAAAACAATTTCTATGGGCTTCAGTACAAGGGTAAGGCCACGTACATCCGACGCCCCTTACCCCACCATTGGTGTGAGACTGTGAGCCTTTGTAACAATGGGGTAATGATGATGATGAATGATGGTCAAGTTTGAAAAATACTTTCATTGAAGTATAAACGTTACAAGTCCCACATGAATATAATAACAAAAATCATTGTCTAGACTTTTAACATTGATAAAAAATCAAATGAGCCAAATTTTATGAGGGGGGAGTAATATTTATCACACTTATCATTTGTAATTTCCAAGATACAAATTACAAGTTGTTAGCTAACTGGTAGCTACTGCCTACTAGCTAGCTTCTCCCTGAGTTGCTTTAGAAACGTTTGCTTAAAAACTGTTACTCCGTATTCATTATTTCATCAACTTTTGCCTAACCAATACACTCAAAATACTTTTATTTGCCAAAACTAACTTCTACTTTTAAAATATCTCTTAGAAGCACGCAAAGAAGCAGACACTCCCTGTCATCATGACCGTACAACTAAATGGTTATTAACTTGGTTGCTTTGTTGGCATCAATACATGATCAAGGTTAGTACTTGGTATTCTTGACAGTTTGACACTGAAACTATGCACAACACCTTAAAAGTGGGCACAAAGGGTCTATGTTCTCCTATAGCACACGAGCCCCTATGTCTATCAAGGACTTCCTGGACAGGTTTATGATTGAATTGGCAATAACTCTAGCACTGGACTTCATATAACCGCCTGAACATATTAGCACGAGAAATATCGGTCAAGTCCATATGGATAACAACATGGGAAAGATAACCAAAGGACAGTGAAAATCTAAAAGATACAAGAGATACTACGGAACATAATCATAAACCTGATGTAAGCATCAAAAGAGGGATATTTCTCCCGCGAGAAAATCTGAATATTCTTTCATCCCTCGCGGCTATTCCTTCCGGACTAATCTGCATTGAAAATAAGCATGGCCAAATTGTTTTTATTAATATATTTAGCATATGAAAACTCACATATCTGATGGGTACCATTCTCTAGCCTGGCCTGCTTGCCCAATCATATCTGGTCTGATCTTATTAAAATAAGGCCTAAATTAAAATTAATTGACAAACATATGACTTTTAACATGCAGTGACGGTCGTGACTATATTGATGCTCAGCTTTACACTACATTACTACAAGTGATCATATTGGTTTTTTGTAGGCCATATAATCATGCATGCCCATGGGTTTTAGTTTAATCGAATTAGTGGAAAAATCACAAATATGAGAAGTAATAACTATTTAAGCGAACAAAATAAGGTGAAGAGAGCACTTCCGTCTTTGAGAAGATTACCTTCAATCTTCCAAGAGGATCGCCTTCCAATATATCAGTGCCAGCATTGTACACAATTAACTCGGGGTTAAATCTATGCTGAGCAACCTGCAGATTCATTATGATGATCATAAACTATGACCAACATTCTCTCCATGACGATTTTCTTTATTACAAAAAACTATCAGCAGCCTTTCATTTTTCTGAAAGAACCAAATGCAATACAAACCTCAAGTGCTTCATCTAATTTACTCAAGTAGGCTTCGGTCTCAGTCCCACTCTGTCAAAATTCACTTGAGAAAAGTTAAAAAGTCCAAATTCAAGAGAAAACACAGTCATCACTTCATCTTCAATGATGGGACATTAACTCTAACCTGAACTTCAACCTTCTGATCAATGTATCTCCTGGCTCCAAGATCCTTAAAGAACATGTCACAAATCATAAAGATGAATGTGCTACTTGAGGCACTAATAAAATATTGAGGGTGACAAGATAAAAGAGATGTAAAGCAGGAGAAATAATTCAATGGTGGTATGGGGATGCAAGCTCTATGTCTGACAATGTTTAGGTTCACATTACTGCGCACCCTACTATTTTCCCCCCAAAGTCAATCATATATTCCTATCAGTTTCCTGTGTTGTGATTTCTCTTACTACTACTTATAAATTAAGGGTATGTTTGGATTTCAGAAACTCAAAGGGAACGGAAAATGTTAAAGGAAAATAGAATGTTATGGGATACGTAGAACACTAGTACTATTTTTATATGTTTGATTCTACCTTGGAGGTGATAATTAAATATGACCACTTTTAATGTTCTGTAATAAATACTTAGATGTCATAGCTTTAAATGATATCAATAAATTTGAGTAAAAAAAAATGACATCAATAAATAAAATGATCTTTAACAAATATGTAAAATAAATTTATCAAGTGAAACTCTATATACGACCCTCCCTCCCCCCCATCCCCCCCCCCCCAAAAAAAATCCATTTTCCTCTCTATTTTATTCCCTACCACCAAAGCATGAGAAATCTTAAGTGAAAGTATGAGGAGGGAACTCACCATTGGATAAATGCCAGGGTTATACATGTCAAGAATATAGACCCTTCCTGCCAGTATTAACGCAAAGTTCAATTAATAAGAAAAAAGCCACACAAAGCCCAAGGTTCTAAGAATAAGGGCAAGAATCACACCGTCGTTTGCAAAATCAATTTCATGACCATTTCCTTGATGAGCATCCAGATCAATAATCATCACTCTTAAAGAGTAGAAAAAAACTGATGAATCCTAATGCAAAATCAACATATAGCTGAAAAGTTTATATTGGGACATTGTTGTCATCAATACCTTGATATATCTAAAGAGACAAAGGCAAACTGAATGCATATAGTGATGTCTGCATAAGCACAAAAACCACCCCCCTTCTGTGCAGAGCAATGATGAAACCCACCACCCACATTGATTGCCCATCCACGTTCTTTTGCAAGCTTAGCAGACAAAACAGTTCCTCCGACCTATTCAAAACTGCTTAGCTAGTGATTTGAGACATAGTTTGTAAAGAATTGGAAGGACTACGACACTTTATTTCACCTGCTTGCGGAAAGGCTGAAGGACTTTCTTTTGCACAAGCCAATTAGGTAGAAGTGCAACCGGTGGAACCTATAAAGTTGTACCACGATTTAAAAGTTTATTGCTTGACAGAGGTTCTTTTGGTTCCAGATTTAGTCCATGGAAGTGTTACACAAGAAACATATTGGGTTCTTTCAAAACCTCACCTCAACAATCATAGACACATTTAAGCTGCTTTTTAAACTAGCCAAGTATGACTCTGAATGTACCTGCCACCAAACCACAGTTTCTTTGACATACAAATAAAATTTTTAGCACATGAACGATGCATTACATTCAAGCACGGTTCACACCATCATCATCATTACCCCAGTGCCGCAAAGGCTCCCACCTACAGTGGGGTAAGGGGGGGTCGGATGTACGCAGTCTTACCCCTGTACTTAAGGGTTACATTCAAGAGACAAATGAACAATGTTTACTTAGTTTCATCATTAGGTCAGCTCAAGATCCAACTAGGCTCACCTACTATGAAGAATAATACCACATTTTTGGCAATAAAAGAGGGTAACAGTCATAGAGAACCCTGGTCTAAATATGATTGAAATTTGGAATTTTGGGCAATTGGACTACTTGACCAAGATCCAGCTGATCATAAAGCCTACATGATCACATCCATTATGAGCCTATGAAATTATATATCCTCCCTCAGCAGTCAGCACCTACAATGAAACTTTTAAATCCAGTATTTGTGATCCTTTATAAATAGTGTTCCTACCAAACAACTATTAGGTCTGCAGATCTATGTTTCCAGGATCACATGTCCCCTCCTCTTCCCTAATACACTCACTATAGATCAAACTATGCCTATAAAGTTCAGGAATAGGTCTGCATTAAATTTTTTGATGGGCTCGTGATAGTATAAGCAAAAATGGACACACCAATACAAAGGAGGAGAATCAAATAAAAAGCTAAAATGACCCTAAAAGTTCAAATTTTCAACATTATGTTTTCACAGATTAAGAAGCATCAATGCAATAAAAGTAACAACTACCACTAGGAGATCATCTTTGGTGGCTTCCAGAGGTTCAACTATTTGCTTCTTCTCCAGGACTTTATCTTCAGTTAGAAACTTGCATATGCGACCCCATTTAGAAGAATCAAATGGGTGCCTGACAAACAAAAAGGAAGTTAACTACATAGGTACACATGGATCACTTAACAGTCACAATCTAAGGATATAAAAAAAAAACAGAAAACAATATTTAACATAAACACAGTATATGTGCATGGGTATATAGGAATACTTCCTATCGACAGGTAATTCTATTGGGACTGTTAAGGAATACTCCCTCTTGTCCCTTTTTCTTGAATTTCACTTACAGAGGATATAAGGAATGCAAATGGTGAGGTTGAAATTTGTGTAAAAAGAAGAAAAGCATTTTCAGAAAATGGCATACCTTTTAAAAGCGGTGCAATAAGGAAAGTTGGGAAAATAAAATAGGGGCTTACGGGGTTAAACAAACTGTGGGGATGGGGGCTTAAACAGGGTCCTTACAGCTTTTCTAGGCCAAGAAAGGCAATGTCGTATGAAGACGAGTAGATAACTGGAGCCTGATTCAACATATTACAGGTCATATATGTACATACATATTTGTTTCTCCGAATTCAAGTAAGAGGGGAATGTTACCTTAGACAGAGGCACGTCGAAATAGAGCTTGCTCGAGAGGATTCTATCTCGACGGACGGATTCGACGTCTTCTTCTTCTTTTTTGGATGTCTCAATAGCAGAAGAAGGGCTGCCGGACGATGAAGACATCGGCGGCCTTCGGCTAGAGGAGTAGAAAACCGAGCAGCTGTGGATTACGTAACTGCTGTTGATAGGCAGAAAGTCACCAAATTGAGGAAAGCATATTAATCAACAAGGAAAAGCTTTCTGGCTTTCTGCTAGAAAGAAAGAAAGAAAGAAAGAAAGAAAGAAAAGGATATGATACTTTGATTTCAGACCGAAACGATTGAGGGAAGAGCAAAGTTTGCTGGCAATCGGCGGGGAGATTGTGGCCGTAGTGACGCGGAATGGATGATGGATCTGAACTTGGTTCAGGAGATATGTGTTGAGCAGCCTTGACTCGGCGACTGTGGAAACTGGAACGAACTGGACGATGATACCGGGCTGTCCATAAAGCAAACAGAGAGTGCCAGAGCTAATTCGTCAGCGGTTTAACCTGTCTGAACCGAACCAGAGTGATCCCCAGTCCTCCAGTTCCAATTTCCAACTTCCAAGTACAAGCATGATCAAAAAAAAAAAAACTTCCAAGTACAAGCTGTGTACGCGCCCATTTCTGAACACCCATTTTTTGATCCCCAGTTCCAATCTCCCAAATTAGAGCATCTCCTGGGTAGTGGATTGGAGTAAAGTCCATCCACGTGGTATAGGAGAGAGATAGAGATAGAATGATTATTTTAATATAATATAGACAAAATGGTGTGTATGAAAAATGAAAAGGAAAACAGAGATAGGAGTAAATTGTAGGCAATGTCTATGACAATGTCTACAAATAGACTTTACACGGGAATCGAGGAACAAAAGTGGATGATAAGTGGGCTAAAAGTGATATAAAAAAATGAAAAACAAAGTAAATGTGAAGTTATGTAGGTCCTACACATAAAATTTGTGAGATAAAAAATAGGACCCACGTGTAAGAGAGTAGACATCCCCTTGGAGATGCTCTTTCAGATTTCACTTCCGATTTTGATCACTCATTTTTTGGCCTATTTAATACCGACTAGTGACTACAAGGGTCTTCTTTGGTCCTTTCTAGTACTATGTACAAGTTAAGGTCTTGTTTACTTAAGACTTACGGAGTAATGGACTATAGAATTTGTGGCTTGGGATTTACTTATGACTTAATCTAAAATCCTTCGTATGACTTATTCGCTTAGTCCATTTATGACTTATTCGTTCAGTACAATTTGCAGAGTCCTTATGGTACAAACATATTAGCTGTGAAAGAGTCTCTTGTTTAACCTCTCTTTATCGACATTTCATCGCTTCCTCTGGTAGATGCTCTGTATGTCATTAGCCGCCATAGCTGTAAGGGATCTGACGACCTTCATCGGCAACACCAAATGCCAACCTTCGCCAGCCGAAGCTAATCTGCAAAGAAATCTATCATCCTCCACACCTCAGCATTTCTTCTCATTCTATATGGGTATTATTTTATTTTTGGGTTCTTCATTTTGCAGTCTCTCCTTAAACATCTGAGGTTGTATGTTTAATGCGGAGTAGTTTTTTATTAATGCCTTATATAGGAATATAGGATACGCTGATCAATTGTTTCTTGATTTATATGTATGTTGATTATGTTCAATTATGAATTATATACTCTTAACCATAGCCCTAGTTCCAAAGTTCATACACACGGTCAAACTTATGTTGTTATCTAGCTTGAAACATATGGTACTCGTATCTGATTGCCCGTATTTAGAGATAATATGTCATTTTTTAGGGAGAGATAATATGTCATTGAGTTGTGGTTAGCTACTAGTATGCCACTGAGCAATGCATATAAATCTTGTTGTGGACTGCCTTCTCATACTAGCAGTTTACAAATTTCAATTTGAAATGACAAGATAGAATTAGTAGAGCACCTTCAGCGTTATTTGAAATTATGGCATTGGTATTTCATATATGTTTTAATAATTAGCCAATTATTTTTATTAATGGTACCACACACACATACACACACACACTTTCTTACGCTAAAGTTCATATCTGTGTACATATATTGAGATACATGAGATCCGAGAGAGTTCATTGAAATGCTCTTTTTAGTTTTTACTAACAATTATTGTTTAGATTAATTTAAAAAAACATACATAAGACTTACTTCAGAGCCTTGCTGTTATGTCATTGCTTTTGCTCCCCTATAAATGATGATAGACAAGCAACTGTCATTTACTTAAAAACTTTACCAACCTGGAAGGTTTCTGAACAACATGACCTCAGATTCAGAAGCAGATTCGATTCCAGATCTTCAAGAACATGTAGTTTGTATGATTGATTTTCAGAGCATATTCTGGTTTGCTATTGTCCTAGAAAAATAGGACACATTAAGCATAAAAAAGAATCATTCTAAAAGATTACCTATTTTTGGTTTGTTTTATTTTTGAAACTATATGTTCTCTCTGCAATTCTCTAGTTTGTTAAAAAATTGAATGCTCCTATCCAGATAGTACGGTTGCAGGTTGAGTTTTCTAATTCACTGGAACAGAAGAGAGCAGCAGTACTCAGGTTAGTTTTCAAGTCTACATTTTTATGTAGTACGTATGTACTAACTCGTTTTCAAGTGTTGCTTATATAGCTTATAGTTTTCGTTTAATATCTTAGGGTTACCAGAGCATCTAAAGGACGAGGCATTGTCGAGTGTTTAAATATTTGCAGTTCGCGATGCATTGACCATATATATTCTTGGTAATTTATTGTAGATTCTATACTTGAGATAGTGTATTTACTTCAAGTTGGTATTATGTATTGTATTCTTTTTGTACAAACCTTGGTGATGTGTACAACTGAATCTTTGTAAATTACTTTCAGTTTGTATTGATGAGATATCAAGATTTGAAAAAGAGAGTTACTTATTGTATAAACAAGATTTAATTTGTTGCATAATACTTCGTACTACATATCAATTTTTCCACATCTGGGTAGTATCAGGAAACAAAAATAACATCTGATTTACTAAAAAAAAGGTGTTGCTCTTTCATTTGAGTGTTCACGGCCACAACAAATACCTCATCCTACTTTTTGTTGCTCTTTCATTTGTTGCTCTTTCACGACCACAACAAATATTACCGCATCAAATAGCTAAAATTCTATTAGTGGATAATGACGATAATCAACAATGAAGCAAAAGAGGAAGATGAAGATATTGAAGAAGTACATTGAACACAATGGGGTATGCAGAGTCAATCATATATGGTGAATTTGTGGGTTGAAATTTCTGATAGAATAGTAGAGATGTTTAAATTTGAAATGTTCTTGTAAAACTCTTGACTTTTTTTTATCTTGTAATGTCACTCTTTTATTTAAGTAATTCATAGTATTATTATTTTTAGACAAGTGAAATTATCTTTCCGAAAAAGGAAAGTAAATAGAATATATATATATATATATATATATATATATATATATATATTCAACACTTGTTCCAGACATGAGGGTTATTTGGTCATTTGACAGCATTCATACTTCTCATTCAGCACACTTCATAAACAGTTTGTTATCTCAACGTCACTTAATCCATACATACAGCTTAATGCAGACAGACGTCTTAATTCATTCAGCACTTAATGAAGAAAAAAAGTAAACAGCCCCTAAGGATGTTTTCTTTTGGACTGTTTTCAGTCCCAGACCAGACCAGACCAGACTTAAACAGACCAGACCAGACCAGACCAGACTTAAACAGACCAGACCAGACCAGACCAGACTTAAACAGACCAGACCAGACCAGACTTCCGTAGTTATAAAATACACAGAGACCAGACGTTTACCAGACCAGACCAGACCAGTTCAGACCAGACCAGACCAGACCAGACTTAAACAGACCAGACCAGACCAGACCAGACCAGACTTAAACAGACCAGACCAGACCAGTCCAGCAAATTTCAGTCCAAAAGAAAACATCCTAAGTCCTATTACTATGTAATAAGTCTCAATCGTGGTCCTCTTCTTTTAAAAGTCTCGATTTTGGGACACAACTATTATATTTCAGACAATTTTAGTCATCCGGTCAATTACATTAGCCGGCCAAAACCTATCGGTCAAGTTGTTTATTTTTTCCTAGTCATTGCATTTACTTATTTTAAGGGGTATTTTCGTCTTCAAGTAAGTAATAAGTCTGAACTCTTGTGCTCCCAAAAATTGAATCATTCATTCTTACACATCTTTTTCTTCAGAAGAAGGAACAAATATATGAAGGTGAGATTTGAAAATTAACTCCAAAAAATGGCAGACTCTCCTCCTTTAAGAGATGTGACTATCTCTCATAGAAATAGAATGTACTCGAACAAAAAACCCCTAAGTTTTTTTTCTTTCTAAATATATGGTTACACTTGTAGAATCAGATTGTGGAGATGATGAAGAGAGCGATTGTAGCTATTCTCATTCTTACCTAGAGAAATTCTCTCAAACAGTGATGTGGAGGAAATTAATCAGGATAATATTGAGTTTGAACAAAATGTGGACTTTAGTGTTGAATATGTTGGTCCTTTGTGAGTGGGCCTCAGAGATATTTGTATGGCTCTTTGAAGTTGTTCATCCTCTTCATCATCAGACAAAAGCATCTTCCTCCTTTTGGTTAAAGGTTGAGTCTGAGCTGCATGCTCAGAACTTGATAAGTCTTCTGGAATAGGTTGTTTAATTTTCCAAGTAGCATGGTTTCTTAGGTTGGTAGACCTTGTTGATATTTTTGAGAGAGACGCATTCAGCTAGATGCCTAGATCAGTTGATCTCATTCATAGGAGTACTTGTTTTTATCATCCTTGAGGGCTTTGTTGGTGTGTCTTGGAAAATAAAGAAAATTAATCAATTAAAATTAATTAATAAAATAGCTAAAGAAAAACAGAAAAAGATGGAGCGGAATTTAGTCAAAGCTCGTGCTACGCACGATGTCCTTAAATGTATTCGTTGCCTCCCAAGATGATAGGAGTGTTGCAACGATCGTTTCCCGGGATACGATGACTACGAACAATTGTTTGAGGACTCAACAAATTGTTCCAGCGAACGGAAACCAAGCATGAACACTAAGGAAATTTTCGGAAGCTCGAGGTGTGTTTTAGCTAAAAACCGTTTGTGCTAACTGTGCTGTGAGATATCTTGTTGCAAAGCACCTGCCAACTATATATAAGGATGGATTTGTGAAGTGTTAACTGAGCTTAAATGTCCACCACGTTGGGCATTAATATGCCGAAAACTGTCCATTTAAAGCGCGCGTTAAATGAGAAGAACGTTGGGCATTAACTGCTGTAACGTGCCTGACGACTCCTAGTCAGAGCAATTCTGTTGCGAAGCAGAGGTCTTCTGGTCTGAGCAATTCTGCTGAGGAAGAAGAGGTCTTCTAGTCTGAGTAGTTCTGGTTCTGGGAAAAAATAAAATGTTACAGGAAGAAACAAAAATTAAATCATATTTTTGGATGACATCCGTGTTCGCAGGTCGCCCGCGCACGCAAGTCGCATTTTTTCTTCTCCGTTTTCAGTATTTAATTTGGACCCCCCTGCGCGCAAAGAGAGCCTTTCCACTTAGGAATCTTAACTCCTTCAAAGAGAGTTTCCTTTATAAGGGATTCAAAATCCCTTTGGTTTTCCG